CTGGAGTCCATTTAAGCTCACACCTACTGCTTCAGTGACTCCATCCAGCCACCTCATTCTCTGTCGTCCCCTTCTTCTATTCTACATATAACTATGTAGTCTGTCTCAAACAATTAACATACCGTCGCTATTTTTGCTATTTATTATTTAGGTTACCTATTTTACTTTTACATTGTACATCTACACTTGTACCCATTATGCTGTTTCTATTGAGGTGAACAGCATTATGTGGACAGTAGAAAAGGAGTAAGAAATAATTGCTCAAAGAAATTAAAAGCATGAGATCAGACAAAGAAAACAGCTAAAACTAATTTACTCCCCCATATCTTTGTATTCTTACAAACCATCCTTGCTTCCTCTGCACCTAACAACTGCTTCACACGTTGCCTTTTGTTCTTCAGATTTCTTGCCTCTTTCATTTTGAGATTCTCAGCTCCAACTAATTGCAACTTTCTTTGTCTTCACTTTCCTCTTGATTCATTCACTTCATATATTTATTTTGCAATTTGAGCCTTATTCTCTATATGACCAAACCACTTTAATAAACTTTTTTCATTCATGCCAATCACTTTTTTTAATCCAGTTTGCATCCATTCACATTTCATCTTGAAAAAGTGAGCAACAATCACTTCTTAAGTACCCAAAATATCCCTTTTAGACTGTAGTCAGTTTTGGTTTCTCCTAATATACCCAGCTCTCACTTAGCAGAAGCAGTCTTATATATAGACATTTTCTTTCTTTGGACAGACATTCCAAGTACATTTATCCAGAGTTACCATAAATAATCAAATGGACACCACACTGTCTTGTCTTACTTATAGCTTAATATTTCCTAAGCCAGGGGTCGCCAACCCCCGGTCCGTGGACCGGAACCGGGCTGTGGCATGCCAGCAGCCGGTCCGCACAAACAAGCAAAGCCCCATTCATGGATGTAGGCAGCACACAAAACCATACACTTCCGGTCCGTGGAAAAACCTTTCTCCACGGAACCGGTCCCTGGTGCCCAAAAGGTTGGGGACCTCTGTCCTAAGCAATGTATTGGTTTCACACATACATGGGGGTTCTATGAGAGATCATAATTAAAGTTTTTGTTCGTTTGTTTGCTTTGTACACCTTGCAGTGCTAGTGCTTGCAGTGGTGAGGATTTTTATAAATTGTTTCTTAACTGCTCGTATTGCTACTTTGCTGTTAAGTGCCATTGTAAAACAAGGATTGTGTAAGTTAAATGTGAATTGTATTGTGTTTGTATTTTTTTGGCATTTTTATGTAGGGGTTCCTGAAACCTGAAAATTTACCCCTCCAGGGTAAAAAAAGTTGAGAAAAATTGGTGCTTTCTCTAAATTAATACATTTAACACAATCTTTCTCACATGAATGTACACATTTTTCAATCACCTGCTAAAGAGCAAAAACTTGGTACATAACTCCTTGTTCTGCAGAAAACTACCTTATACAGCTCAAAAGTTTTTTCAGTCTCATGTATCATATCTTTTCATTCAGAATTTTGACACCTTCTGAAACTAATCCACCTAAATATTTATTTTTACTCTTGCTATCTTTCCTTTTATATCAACTGTTGCCCTGGGTATTTTCCAATTGTCAAGCAACTGCCACTTTGTAGTCAAACTGCATATGCATTTAACCATTTCTTCCCTTACAGTCTACACTTGCAGCCATGCAATTTGTTGATATTCTCTCAACATTTATGACTACTTATCCACTTTCCATTTATGACTACTTATCTAACATCCACTTAAACTACTTGCAACATTGGGAGATTAATGTGAGTCCCAGTATCTTTTCATACAGGATTGTACTTTTTCTTTCCGCAGTTATTCTGTTTTCATTCTCATTTCTTTTAATTTTTTTCTTTCAATGTCAATTTTTCCCAAGGGCAACCCTTGACACTACCAAAAATTGGTCTGTTCAACATTCAAAACCTTTCATCATTTTAATCTTTCATATTTCTCTTAGTCCTTTAACACAATCAAATGGGTCATACTTTTGGACTTGTGTTCCATTGGATATACAGGAAGTCCTTGCTTAACAACAATTTGTTCCAACAACTCAAAGCTATAACTGTGCTGAGTGAATGGTATTTATGCTCAATTGCCAAAATTAAGACTGTGGCAGCACCCCCATGGTCACATGATCAAAATTTGGGCACTTGGCAGCCCACCCATATTTGCAACCACAGGGACACTTCAGCTTCCTCCAATCATCATCTTCCTCCCATCTCTGCCCTTCTATCCACCCTGCAAGCCAGCACACTTCAGTAGTAGTGGCAGCCAGAAGTACAGAGATGGAGGGGGAGATAAGCGTAGGAGGGGAGGCAGGTTGAAGAGGAAGCAATCACTTATCTTACTGAGGCTCAGACTGGGAGCAACAAAGCTAGGAATGGCTTGGATCAGCATGGTCCTTCGGCTAACAACAATAATGAGGATTGACTGTGCTAAGTGATGTGGTTGTATGATATGCTTTACAACTACATCACTTATTGGCAGAAATTCCAGTCCCAATTACTGTCTTACCTTGAGGTCTATCCGTATGTACATACATACATATGGATAGACTTGAACTTAAATGCTGTAAATGAAACAGCTTTTTCTAAAGAGGTATATCACTAGTCTCATCCATTCTTATTCCTTGAATGGTCCAGTCATTTTTTTTCCAGTACTCATCTGTCTTGTTCCCACCAATCCATTCATGTTACCTAGAAGGAATACATTTTTGTTCTGGATTGTAGTCATTCAGAATGTTGCGTAATTTTTCTCCAAACTCATCTCTGGTTCAGATCAATGTCTACTGGAGCATAATATGCAATTATCACCAGCCTGTGGATTCTTCCTTTAATGTGCACTATAGCAGCCTAGATGACACCCATTGATACATTTGGACATACAGTTTAGCCCTTTCATTCATTATGAAACATATACTTTCCCTTTCTTGCAGGCTCCCAAGCATTCTTAACGATGTTCTATGTTAGGATTTTTTACACACACACACACACACACACACACACACACACACTGCAGTAAATATCTTCAGTTGGGGATGGAGATTTGAGTGCAACTTGCAGCTATCCCAACAGATTAATTGTCTTATTTGTCAAGCTACTCAGAAACAGTTAATTGTGTGCTAGTAGTGTTTTGCTCTGAGTAGCAAAATAAATATTGCAGCCAGTTTTTTTTTATTTAGAAGAGTAGACTCCCTCATCCTGAATCATGGTATGTTTAACCATTATTTGTTTGAATAAACCAAAGTTGAACTACAAAACATATCCAACCTTAGATAGTGATTTACCAACTACAACAATCATCTCCAGAGTTGGAATGAGTGCACCATTCAGGTGAGACAAAAGGAAGTGGCAGTGTTTGTCCATTTTCCCTTCGTTATGCAACTATTTGGCTTTCCCAAACTTGACCACTTCTAGGTCTGTGGACTTCAACTCCTCAGAATTCTCATTTGTGTTCACAAACTTAAAGTTTAATATAGAATTTGACATTCCACTGGGATTTGAAGTCTATAAGCCTGGAAATTGCCATGGTTATGAAGCAACAGTAGACCAGCAAAAAGTTCCCCCATTCCCCAATCTCACATGAAAGAGAAAGAAAAGTGACAAGCATCTTCCTCCCCGGTAAAAGAGCAGACAGCAACTTGAGCCTGACCTCTGCCAAAGAAACAGAACAATTGTTTATTTCACCCTTGCTCCCTTCATTTGAACTACTTGTGCAACAGTAGAGGGAAGGATATGAAAAAAATAAAAACAGTCTAGCTCAGTCCTACCTTTATTTGAAAGTAGGATCAGCAGGACTGTATATCTGTTCATATGCTTTGGGAACATACAGGTCTAGAATGATTATTGAGATATTCAAATCTCATTAGTCTTAATTGGCATTTTTGAACAGGGAGGTTACATTTCCTTCTCTGAAGGAGCCTTCAGAAGGAGAAAGAATGATGCATGACAGTTCTCTGATTTGGAATGAGAATCCCCAAGTCCAAACATGGACCAGTAATTTGCAAATTATAGTGCAAACTTCCTTGAGTATAGTGCATAGTTAAAGGTCTATGAAGATTCTCAGTCATTTAGGTCATGGTTGTTCCAAAGGTGCTTTTTTAGAAGGCAACTGGGCTTTGTTTTTCCTGGAAGACATTTCGCTTTTCATCCAAGAAGTTTCTTCAGTTCTGAAGAAAATCAAATTAGCAAGAGTAGAGATATCAGTAAAAATAATGTTTGCATACTTTTATTACTATATTTGATTTTGCATAATAAGCTTTGTCTAAGTCTGTAGACATTCCCCTTAGAATATAAAGATATTTCATATTTGTCTGGTTCCTGAATTAAGATACATTAATTTTCCAGATAGATTTTTCTAGAATTCTAGAATGAAGCAACAGATCTTAGCTAATTATATCATGATATTTTTTTTTGCAGAGAGTAAACAACCAAAGGCAGAAATGTTTTGCCTGCTCATGAAGTTTGATTAAATATCTGTTGTTTTAGATACAGGTAGTCCTCGACTTACGACCACAATTGAGCCCAACGTTTCTGTTGTCAAGAGAGGCATTTGTTAAATGAGTTTTGCCTCACTTTACGACCTTTCTTGCCACAGTTGTTAAGTGAATCACTGCAGTTGATAAGCTAGTAACCTGGTTGTTAAGTGAATCTGGCTTCCCCGTTGATTTTGCTTGTCAAAAGGTTGCAAAAAGTGATCACATGACCTTGGGACACTGCAACCGTCACAAGTGTGAACCAGTTGCCAAGCATCTGAAGTTTGATTACAAGATCATGGGGATTCTCCAAAGGTCGTAACACTGAAAAACGATTGTAAGTCACTTTTTTCAGTGCCATTGTAACTTTGAATGGTCACTAAATGAACGGGTAAGTTGAGGACTACAAATATTATAACAAGTGAAAATTCAGTCAAGATTGTCAGTGGGGATATTTCTGCTTTTGCTCACTATTATCACCTTCTTAACTTATTTGTTGTTCATTTGTAGGTAGAAGGCGACAGAGAATACATCGACCTCGTTCTCCAATCCTGGAAGAAAAAGACATCCCTTTTCTTGACTTGCCCAAATCCTCAGGGGACTTAATGGTGCCTAATGAGCATATAATGAATGTTATTGCCATCTATGAGGTACTGCGGAACTTTGGCACTGTTTTACGCCTGTCCCCTTTTCGTTTTGAAGACTTCTGTGCTGCTCTAGTAAGCCAAGAACAGTGTACACTGATGGCTGAGATGCACATAGTGCTTTTAAAAGCAGTTTTACGTGAAGAGGACACTTCAAATACTACCTTTGGACCTGCTGACCTCAAAGATAGCGTTAATTCCACATTATATTTTATAGATGGGATGACTTGGCCGGAGGTTTTGCGGGTATACTGTGAGAGTGACAAGGAGTATCATCATGTTCTTCCTTTTCAAGAGGCAGAGGACTACCCTTATGGACCAGTTAAAAATAAAATTCAAGTTCTGCAATTTTTAGTGGATCAGTTTCTGACAACAAACATTGCACGGGAGGAGTTAATGTCTGAAGGCGTTATACAGTATGACGACCATTGTAGAGTTTGTCACAAACTGGGGGACTTGCTGTGCTGTGAAACTTGCTCAGCTGTCTACCACTTAGAGTGTGTGAAACCGCCTCTTGAAGAGGTCCCAGAGGATGAATGGCAGTGTGAAGTTTGTGTAGCGCACAAGGTGCCTGGTGTAACAGACTGTATTGCTGAAATCCAAAAAAATAAACCATATATTCGACATGAACCTATTGGATATGATAGAAACAGGCGGAAATACTGGTTCCTGAACAGGAGGATTGTTATGTAAGTACATATTCTAGCCATATCAGTATTATACATCTTTTTAATAAAAGGCAGTTGATATATTTTTATTTATATAACATGGCTTCAGGCCTCATGTATTATATTTTCTTATAAGATTAAACAAAATTTCCATATTATTGGGAGGGAGGGAGGGAGGGATTGTAGTAATTGTAGCTGAAAAACGCCAGACGCTTATTTTGCAGTTTTAAAACGTGTTATCTGAGCTTAGAAAAATTAGTTTCTTTTTCCTTTTTGTGTTAGTGGTGCTCTTAAGGATTTTTTAAATTTAAGAAAGCAATTTATAGTATTATTTACATCCTGTGTCTCTGAAATGAATATTTTACTTGCTTCTTCAAAGTGGCAGTTTGACATTTTTCATCTTACTTGCAGTTTTTATATGAAAACCCAGGTAACAAATTCATATAATTTAAAATGCAGCAAGCAGTTATAGGATGATGATGACAACGATGAACCTGAAGTGCAGTTTTATTTTTTGTGGAGGTCTGGTAGAAGCTTGAAATGAGGGCTCTGAACAACCACAAATACATCTTCTTATTTGACAGTCAGTATGGTGTAATGGTTGAAGTGTTGAAATCAGAACAAGGAGACTCCCTCTTTCATCCCTGGAAACACACTGGATTATTCTGGGCCACCTATTCTCAGCCCAGTCTACTTCACAGGGCTATTATGACAAAAAGAAATAGGTTTTGTACTGCATTAGGCATAAGAGTGTTCCAGATTAAAAAATAATAACATGTAATTTGCTTCCAAAGATTCCAAAGACTAGAACATTGCTGAAGAATCAAGTGTTGACATTCTAATGAGTCACTGGTCTAATCATACATAATGCTACATTATGATTTATTAGACAAACCAAAGTGACCTGGTTTAGACATATTGCGAAGCCATAATAGGTGATGTTATCATTATGCTTGTCCCAAAACAAACTACATTATACTTTAGTATTGTTTGCCAACCTTCAAGGCACTGGTACAAATCCAAAGTACATCATGAGAGGATATTGACATATTGTCAATGTTTTAGTTTCCTTTGGGTTTTATTTGTAACTAAGATGGCGGTCAATATTTCTGTTCATAAAGGAGTGTATTTAAACCAAATGAACTAATGTGCTATTTGTGAAGAGAGAAAGCCATATATTTTTTGTCTACAATTTACATTGATCATGTTCATGTAGAATGCTAAACCAAATTCATCGAACTAGGAAAGCACTGATTGAGTATATTCTTCTTAAACTGAGAATTTTCAATTATTTTCAGTTCTTGCTTTCTAAGTGTTCACTTGTTTGACAGGAAGAAGATTCCTTAGACTAGGGGTGTCAAACTCACAACGTCATGTGACGTATCGCGACATATCGTGACTTTTTTGCCATTGCCGGCAATGGGGTGGGCGCAGTTTCGTCATGATGCATCCGGCCTGCAGGCCAGCAGTTAGACTGATTTGATATTCTTGACAAACCATACCTCTTCCTTTTGTGAAAAGTTTTGTTTGGAAAATCTATTAAACATTAGCAGTTATGATAACTGAAAGCTGAAAAAGTGCAGGCTGTGTGGATTAGTTAACAGGTAGCCTCCTCATGAAAAAGCCAGGGTTTTTTGTTCACAAATACTGCTGGTATGTCTGTCTGGTCTTTCTTCATCTTCTGGAGAGAAGAGCTTAGCCAGTCTAGTCTAATGCAGTGTTTCTTAAGTTTTTGCTGTCAGGCCTCTTCTTACTTTTAAAAATTATGCAGAACCCTGAAAGAATTTCTCTGTGTGTGTGTTTTATATTTATCAATATTTATCATATTAATATGATAAATTTATCATATTAAACCTAGAACTAAGGAGAAATTTTCTGACGGTTAGAACAATTAATCAGTGGAACAACCTGCCTTCAGAAGCTGTGAATGCCCCAACACTGGAAGTTTTTAAGAAGAGACTGGACAACCATTTGTCTGAAATGGTATAGGGTTTCCTGCCTGAGCAGGGGGTTGGACTAGAAGACCTCCAAGGTCCCTTCCAACTTTTTTATTATTGTTGTTATTATATTTAAAATTGATGCATTTTTAAAATATTTAATTTATTGAGTCATGTAAAAATAATATTAAACCCTTTAGATATTAACATAAATGAAATATTTTTCATGAAAAAACCCTGTATTTTTAACAATCAAAACATAATGAGAAGAGTGACACTGTTTTATATTTTTTGCAAATATCTTCCAATATCTAGCAAATAATTTTGGTTTGGCAAAGCACTCGGTCTTGGTAAACCCTCAGGGGACCTCAGAACACACTTTGAGTAGCTGGTCTGATGGTTCTAGTGTTATTTTTGTCTCACTGCTACTTCCTTCCCATATTTAGGACATTTGTACCCAGCACTCCGCCTATTTTTGTAGAAATTGTTCTCACTGTTAAAAAAAATTCCTCCTTAGTTCTAGCTGGCTTCTCTCCTTGAATAGTTTCCATCCATTGTTTCTTGTCTTGCCTTCAGGTGCTTTGGAGAATAGGTTGATCCCCTCTTCTTTGTGGCAGCCCCTTAGACATTGGAAGACTGCTATTATGCCACCCCAGTCCTTCTTATTTTATTGTAGGAAGACAATTTTATATATTTATTGTTGAAATACATTAACTGAAATTTATGGTCAAATAAAATCTTAAATGAACATCGATAATGGATATTTCCAAAATTTTGATTTGGTACAGAATGTAACTCACCAAAAACAAACTAAATTGATGTAACTATAAAATAGTTACATGTGTGCAGGTTTTCAGGCATTCCATCAGCCAAGGACCCGGGGTAGGGGCGGAGGGGTAGCGGTCATTATAAGGGAGAGCCTTTGTCCAAGGGAGACCACTGTGCCTCAGATAGACGGCGTGGAGTCGCTCTTTGTGAAGTGGGGGCAAGGGGTGCAAGTGGGCTTGTTGATTATATACCTGGCTCCCTGCTATGTATCAACAGC